TTTAGCTTCTCAGTGCTATGCTTTAACCCGCTGTGCTACCAGGGAGGGCCAGTTTTGCCTACTTTTAAACTTTGTCTAAATAGAATCACATTGTTATGTATTCTTGTCTTCCATGGAACACAATTCACTTATATAGCTGCAGCTTATTCATATTCACTGTGCATTACATTGCACAGTACAAGTATTGGGTGTTATATTTATTGTATATAGATAACTGAATTGTTTGTAATTTCCTGTTATCATTACAATCTTATTATGCCCTCCTCCCCTTTAATTGGGGTAAGATAGACAAAATTTACCACTTCAGTCATTAAGCGCAAAGTTTAGCATTTGAGTAAATTCTCACTATGGCATTACCATCATTATTATCCACTTTCAGAACTTTAATCCTTTTGCAAAAGCAAACTTTATGCAATTATTATCTGCCTCCTCTGTCAACCTCCACTCCACCTCTTGTGTCTGTGAACTTAACCATTTAACTACCTCAGTGGAATCATCTAATTGTCCTTTTGCGTTGGCTTATTTCACTTAGCATAACGTATTTACAGTTCAATCAATGGTGTATCATTTGTCAGAATTTCCTTACTTTTTTAGACTGAGTAATAAACCATTTTCTTTGTATTTACCATTATCCTGTTTAAACAACTGGGAACATACACATAAATATGTACTTGTGCACATGGGCAAGGATTTCCTTAGGCGATATAACAAAGAATAGAATGGACTAATCATAAAAATTGCAAATTTGACTTTAGTAGGTAAACAGTTTCATCAATTTTCATTTGACCAGAAATATAAAGAGCCCTTGAGGGCCTCCTTTGTGGCATGGGGGTTAAGTCTCAGCACTATCACTGTTATGGCCTGTTTGACCCCAGCAGGGGAGGTGACCCACATGGCACAGCTGCCCCCTCCTGTCTCACCTGCTGCTCCCCTTAGCAGTATATTTCAGTAGGTCTGCCTGTTTGTTCCCAACTTGGTGAATCTTCTCATTCCCCTGCACCTCTGGCTTATACCCCAGTTCCTCTATGCATAAATAGATCTTTAAAAAAGTCAGAGTTCCTAATATAGATTTTTATAGTTTTATTAACTTGGGGGCTATGAAAACATATTTCAGTGTGTTTTATTTACTATTTCCCTGATTACTGATAAGGTTGAGCATGTTCACTGGCCATTTAAATCCTTCTATAAGATTTTTCCATTGGCATTTTAATTTTTTTTCACACAGATCATATATTTTGGTTATGAATCTGTGGTCATTTATATGTGAAAAATGTAACTGATACGTAACTTCTCTTTTACTCTTGGAAGTTCTGATGACCCAATGTTTTTAATTTTAATGTAGAAAATTTAACAATTTTTCTGCTATTGTTTATCTATAATTTTCTATGTTATTTAAAAAATTCGCTCTATTCCAAGTTTAAATACTCTTCCTTTGTGTCTTAAAAGGTTTGTTTTCCCTTTTATATCTCTAATCTACCTAAAATTGATCTTTGTAAGTACTAAGCCAGGAGTTAACTTTTATCTTTTCCACGTGGATAATCTGCCCATTATAACAGAAAAATTCATCCTTTCCCCAGGACCTACAAGATGCTGTTGTCAACAATTAAGCGTTCATATATCTGGTATATCAGCTTCTAACCATTTATTCTGATCCATGATTTGTTTACCTGAATTTGAACCAACATGCACATTTAAATTTTATATATTCAAATGCATTAAGTTTTTAAAACCTTGAATGAAATATTAATAAAAACAAACTTTTAATGTGGTTGTTTTCCAAAAGAGAACATTTTGAACAGTTTTTTAAAGTATGCTTTTAAAAATTACCATCTGAAAACAGCCTTGAAACTTACCTTTCTTTCAGTAATGTCGTAGACTTTATTGGTTTTGGTAGAAATTTTGTATCTCTGTTTTGGTATCTAAAGAAAAGAAAGTATAGCTTACAAAAAATATCAAGCAATAAACATGAACTTTTATGTTACAAGATTAGTTGATAAAGTATCTTTAACTAATCCATGTCAATTAGTTCAGATTTCAGTTTCCTTTCTTACTCTTTCTACAAGTATTTTCCTAAGTATAAACAAAATAAAGCCTTGATTTTAAGAAAAAATAGTTACTTACAATTCCTAGCTTCTTCTGACATAAAGGATAACCACAGAGTTTGATGATAGAACGCTCATCCACGACATCACTGTAGTGAGCAGGTGTGATAAACTTTCCCTACAATAAAATGGAAGAGTCCCCCCACAATCAGGTTATTTTGTCAGTTCTCTAAGTCTTATCAATCTTATCTGAAAATATAGACTTAATAGTACCCATCTTACAGTTTATAGGCAGAATCAGAGGAAATAAGACAAAGAAAAGTGCTTGACACAGTAAGCACTCAGTGTTAGCAGCTATTAAACCAAAAACATTCTGCCAGGAGACTCTATATAATCACGGTAGACTGTAATCTTTATAGATTACACAATTCATGAAAAGATCTGAGTCAGAATAAAGTGGTACAATAATTAATTGTTTTAGCAAGACAAAATACCGATAGAATGTATGTATACATATAGTTTAAGTACTCTAAAATATAACCACATGAAATAATAATTTTACCTATCTTTAAAGCAAATATTAAAAAACAAAGTATACTGACAATGTCATAACTCCTGAACAAAATCAACCAGCTTCAAAAACAAAGTATATGGGAGAATGGAAGTGACGATTACATGCTAACGACAAATATTTCCCTTTGACATCTTCATATTGAAATAATCTCAATTCATGTCCCATAACCTGCAGGAGATCCTTTTGAGTTAAGTTTTCCTGTTTTCACAAGGACTGAAATATTTTTTACTGATAAAGGTATTTGTTACAAAAAATATTTTTGGCTCGTCACTGTTTCCTTTAGTATTATCACATATGCATGTTCTGATGCAGTTACCTAAACTAATTTAAATAGTCATGTTTATATTCCTCTTTTTAGAAAAACTAGGAGCCACACAAAGAATTAAGCTTAAAATGGAAGCTCTACATTCTAAATCTCCTTTTCTTTTTTTTCTTAAAGATTACGAGGATATAATAGAAAGTTCCATTCAAAATTAATTGCAAGTTGTTAAACAAAATTAATGCAGATTATAGTTCTCTTATAAATTAAATCATAAATGACACGTATTTCAGGTTTTTAAAAACCAAAATTAGGGCCCTTCCTGGTGGTGCAGCGGGTTAAAGCACAGCACTGAGAAGCTAAAGCCACTTCAACGTGAGTTCGATTCTCGCCTGCCCTGGAGGAGATCCACATGGCGTGGCAGACCTCTCCTGACCCACCCGCTGCTCCCCTCAGCAGTGTACCTCGTGGATCTGCCTGTTCTGCTCCCCACTCTGTCTCTGGCCTGTACCCCAGTTCTGTATGCATAAATAAATCTTTAAAAAAAACCCCAAAATTAATGGAACTACACTAACAAAAAATAATACTGTCACTATAGTAGGTCAACATAAAGAATATGAAAAATGACATTAGTGCAAACATGATGAAAATCAAAATTATCAGACTGGAGAAAAGTACTATTTAGGGATAAAACATGAGTATTAGGGCTCTCCCTGGTGGTGCAACAAGTTAATGCAAAGCACTATGAAGCTGTTCACAGCCTCTTCTTCCAGCCAGGGAGGTGAACCACATTGTGCAGCAGACCTCTCCTGACCCACCCACTGCTCCCCTCAGCAATATATTTCAGTACATCTGCCTGCTCTGCTCCCTTCTGTGTCTCTGGTGAATCCTCTCACCCTGCATTTCTAGCCTACATCCAGTTCTGTATCCATAAATATATATACTTTTAAGGATTTATTTATGCATACAGAACTGGGGTACAGGCCAGAGATGCGAAGGGTGAGAGGATTTACCAGGAACAGAGTGGGGAGCAGAACAGGCATATCGACGAAGTACACTGCTGAGGGGAGCAGCGGGCGGGTCAGGAGAGGTCTGCCACGCCATGTGGATCTCCTCCCGGGCAGGCAGGGATCGAACTCATGAGGAATTGGCTTAAGCTTCTTAGTGCAGTGCTTTAACCTGCTGAGCCACCAGGGAGGGCCCATAAATATATTTTTTTAAGTGCATGTTATTTTTTATTAGAAGATTTTAAAGCCCTACAAGGAATACATAATAGCTAGTCATCTTAAAAGACATGAAATATATATCATATTACCTGTATCTAGTGACTGAACAAATTTCAAGATTTCAATAAAGCAAAGACATTTTGGGTTGCAGATTTAAAGATCTTATACTAAAATAGTAATAACTGGTCAACACATACACACTCTCTCAGGAATTCTTCTGTAATATTCTCTTCTAAAAGCTGTTCAACAATGTGCAGGGCTTTTCTTTCAAACTCAATCTTCTTTCTCACAGCTGCTTCTAGTTCTGCTTTCCTGAAATTAAAGACAATTATTTCAATTTGTTCTACTTAGAAGTTTACCATAGCCAATTTTGTTTTAAAGTAATACTGGCTGGGCCTTCTCTGGTGGTACAAAGGTTAAAGCACAGCACTATGAAGCTAGCTGCAGCCACTGCAGCACGAGTTTAATCCCCAGGCAGGGAGGGACCCACTTGGTGCAGCAGGCCTCTCCTGTCCTGCCTGCTGCTCCCTCAGCAGTGTACTTTGTCAACTGCCAGTTCTGCTCCCCAGTCTCTCTGGTGAATCCTCTCACCGTCCCTGCACCTCTGGCCAATACCCCAGTTCTGTATGCATAAATAAATAAATCTTTAAAAAAATGAAGTACAATAAATACTAAGATAACTTACTATTTTGCTATTCAAATTAAATATGTATTTTTTACTGCTGTTACTTTTGATCCAACACTTTTCAAGAAAGCCAAAAGCCACTGGTTGCATTACACACACCAAAGTCTGTCATAAGTAGAGGATTAAATGCTTTCCGCTACTCAGAGCACAAGAACTACAGAGAGAAAACGAGATGAAATCATTCTGCCAGTTGGAGTTTATATGCTATCATTCCTCTGTATACCTAAAAAGATAGGCTTTTCCCCTGAAATCCTTAGAAATCATAGAAGATTAAAGAGGAAAAACCATGACTTTGGCTGTTCTTACAAGTAATATTTTTGTCAAATCTTAGAAAGTTAGCTGATGCTAAAAGTTGACTGAAGTTAAGCAGTAGGACTGAGTTGTACTTACAAGAAATGTTTATTTTTCTTGTAAGCTCTCAATAATTGTAATTACTGTAAGCTTACAATAGCTGTATTGTCACAAATGTGTGGTTCCTGCGAATAACAATCTTCCTGGGAGGACAGCATTGTCTTGGCCAGAGCAGCCTTTGCTGGTCCCCACACACCATGGAACATAAAAGCTGAGGCCACAGGAAAATGGTTCTCAATTCAAGAACCACATCAAGATCTCTGAAAACAGAGCCTAGCTTCTGGTATTTCTTAATAGTGTTTTAGATAATCTTAATGTGCAACAGGGTTGAGAATCACTGCCATAGAACCAAAAATATCAACCATCTTGGGGACTTACTAGCTTCTTTCCTGCACTGATTTCTATTTGACTACCAGAACATCCTTTGCTGGTCTCCTCGACCCTGACTTGACTCTCCACCTGGGTCTAGGATGTACTCACCTCTCCCTACTTTCATTGCCTTTCAACATTTAATTCCTTGGGTGGTACAATGTTTTACTAAAAACAATCTGCAAAAAAAATTTTTTTTCAGCAAAAAAAATTTTTTTAAAGAGCAAAAAGATTCTGAAGGACTTACACAGGATTGCTAACCACTTATTTTACCAAAAAGACATTAAAATAAGAAAGTTACAACTAACACCTTTTCTCCCACTGTAGTGCCAGAAAGCACAGGGCAGGTTCTCTATCAATTCAGGCAGACAGGCAAAGAGAGTCCTGAGCTCTCAGTGGCTTTTCCAGGCTTTAACGCTCTTTTTTTTTTAAAGATTTACTTATTTGTACATACAGTACTGGGGTACAGGCCAGAGGCTCAGGGGCAGTGAGAGGCTTCACCAGAGACAGAGCAGGGAACAGAACAGGCAGATCGACGAAGTACACTGCTGAGGGGAGCAGCGGGCGGGTCAGGAGAGGTCTGCCACGCCATGTGGTCACCTCTGGGGCAGGCGGGAATCGAACTCATGCAGAAGCGGCTTTAGATTCTCAGTGCTGTGCTTTAACCTGCTGCGCCACCAGGGAGGGCTGCTTTAATGCTCTTTCTATGCCAACTGTTGTATGGCAAGCCCGTAGACTAGCAGACCTGCCAGACCCCAGTGAATTTTTACTCTTTGGGCTTTCTCTGGCATTCTCCTGTGATTCTAATCCTCTTGTAGCCATCATAGCCGTTCTCCACCACAGGTGTCTAGTGTGACGCTGCCCTTATAACCTCAGGCTCAGGTGTGCACATGTATGCAGCCCACACCATACCCCAGGTGTCCACAATCAGGCAAGAGTACCCCACGCCCACACTCCCAAGTGTCTCCTGCATTAGCACAATCACGGCAGCAGATGATAACCACAGACCTGACCAATCTTCATTGGCCCTTTTGTAAAGGCCATTCTTAAAGTAGGTTAAAAGATGTAAACACAGGCTAAGGTCATTCTTGCTATTCAATATATTTAGCTTTATGAAAAACATTCTTTTTTCTTTTTCATTTTGCTGCTTACTAATAAAAGCACATCATATACGACGATAAAAATTGCAACCTTGAACTATTAACTACTTCAACTGTAACCTGCAGGTAACAGTCATACTCTAACTGATGGCACTTAACAATTTTAACTGATGGGTACTTACAACTGCTTCTCACGAACAGCCCTGTCACGAACTGCCTTCTGCCCAAGTGCTAACAGGCACTGTGGTATATACATCAATGGTCTCCAAGTTTTGTTTCAGTATTCCCTTGAACTTTTAAAATTAAAAGTTTTTGCTTATTTGGATTATATCTGTCAATATTTACCATAGAATTAAAAGGGAAAAATGTATTAATAACATACCCATACATGTTAACATACTTTTAAATGGAAATTTTAGAAAGTGGAGTTGCTAACTTTTTGCAAAGTTCATTAAATTTGGTTTAATAGTACTCAGCTGGACTGAATGTAGAACTATTTTTCAGCTGGAACAAATTTATATAGGATCACATCCCTACACAATGATTTGAATTTTTAATTGTTTTAAAATCCTGGATGGTTAGTTCAAAATACATTTCAGTGTATCTGTCTTTCTTAGTCTGTAGTGCTCAGAATAAACTATAATCTGCTCAGGTTTGTGGTTAGATCAGTATTGAGGAAAGCCACAAATTACTATCATTAATATTAACTGAACTTTACTCTTGGAATGTTTCCAAAAGCCAACTCAGTGTAATCACAACGTTTCATAGGGAAAGGTTCTCCCAAACAGTTCACCATTCCCAGATGATCATCATTCCTAACTGCTTAAAACTTCCAGAATTTAAATTTTAATCACTTTCTTCAAACTTTTCCCAATTGCACTAGGAAATTCTAAATTTCTCACCAGGACCTACCAAATGCTATAGATACCTGCCTCTCCCTCTAAACTTTTCCTGTGCTCCTTTCTTCCGCTCAGAATGCTGCTGCACACCACCCTGGCACCTCTCCTTTCTTTGAACTGAAGATATTTGTCTTGTCTTAAGAGTCTTCACACATTCTGTCACCACTGGCTGGAGGTCTCCTCCTCCTTCTCCTCTAGTCTCATCAATGCAAACTTAGCCTCTGGCCTTTGCATAAGTACTTCCTCAGAGAAGCCTTTCCCTAAAAGTTCCATCACCTGCCTTGCCTATCTGCAATTAAATTGAATTCCTGTTATCACTCCTCCTTAGAGCATCAGTCTTATCCTTTATAGTACTTATCACAATTTATAGTCACATCATTATTTGTGATAATTGGCATTTCTCTGTTCTACTAGTCTGAAAATGTGGCCATTCTGTTCAAAACCATGTCCTCAAATCTGGCATATCTTACTCAGTAATAATTCTTCAAAGAATGAGTAAATTAAGGCCAAAATGAGCATTTTATAAAATGATAAATCAGGAATGTATGTATTTTTAATCATCTTTATAGAAACTTTGTCACAGGAGATAAAACTGCCTTTTAGGAGAAGCCCAGAGAAAGTACAGTTCCTTTTTTTTTTTGCTGAAAATATGTACATTATGTAAACCAAGAACAGAAAAGGGTTTCTGGGCTCTCGACTTACAAAACAAAAAAGAGGAGCCATGTATCTGAAAAGATGGAAGAGTACCTGGTTTTCAGGAATGTTTTATTCTCATAGCACCTTGCTGCAGACACTCATACCTTCACCAGCAATCTAAGTGTCGGATTTGATTTTCTTAAAGCCGGTAGTAGGGAGATGCATAGACCAGTGCTTCCACAGCTCCCCTATTTTCTCTCACAATTTTCTCTAAGGTAGTACACACTTCAGCGTTTTAAAAAAAAAGATTCCCATTAGAAATGAACAGGTAAGTGAATGTAGTTGCCCAAGTAGCTCTTATACCTTTTAGAAGCATCTTCTTGTTTCAAAGCCCTCGTCTTCTTATCTACGATTAAGAAAAATAAAACAGCAGTTTCAGTGTACACAAACACAGCAGTTGCAGAACAGATTGTTGCCCCAATGACCTGCAGGCGGCGTTCCTTCCAATCCTGTGTGTAAACCAAAACAGGGGGCTCAGTGTGTTCCTGTAAATTAATTAATCCTCAATTTGTCTTGGAAGTGTATCCCTTTCGGGACTGCATTTTCTCCGTGACAGATTAAGCGCTCCCGAAAACGCAAGCTTTGGATACTTGTGGAGGCAGCCTTTTCCCATTCCTTTCCATTCCCAAGTCCCGCTACCGGGAAGAGGGGGGCACCTGTGAGAACCCGGCACCACTGCGGCGTAGGGGAAAGAGGGTCACTGCTAAGTTAATTTCAGGGCCAGCTACAAGACAGCCTGCGGCAGCTGCTCTACTCGCTTGCCCACTCGGCCTCCCCCGTCTGGGCTCCCGGCCCCTCCGTCCTTCCCCTCAGAAACAGGGGCACATCCCATGTTGGGAGAGATTACGGGTCCGCCAGCAGGTCCACCCCAGGAGGCGCGTCCATCCCAGCAAGCAGTGGGAAGCGCTAGGCCTTCTCTGCCCCGATACCTCCCCTTTTCGGGAGAGTCCCGCGCGCCTCCGTGTGGAGCTCAGTCGGGGCTCAGGTCTCACG